AAAAAAAAAAAAAAAAAAGAGGAGGAGGTTTCTCAAACACTTTTAATTTTTTTTTTTTTTTTAGAGTTCTATTTCACGTGAAGATGCACAATTGTTTTGAAATATACATGTTACTTACTTCTAGGCATAAAAATATTGCTGATGCCTTACACCTTGCCCCTTTGCTCTCTACATGATTTGCAAGTGTGATAACACACTTCTGAAATACATCTCCTTTGTCACTAAGGCCACCACCATCACCAGTATGAAATAGTGAAAGACCTCCCCAACTGCTTCAAGTGTAATACTTTGCAAAACAAATGAACGTTGCTGGGGAACTTGCCTTTCTCCAGAAAAGCCTATTAAAACGTTGTTGATGCTGGACACAAAATAAAATCCCCAAATCTGCATTTTTCAGTACTTTTGCTTTCTTGACCTTTATTTGAATTTGAGACTAAGCTTTACCAAACAACAGAATTTACACAGTCACTAGCCAACCACAGTCCTCATTATGGAATCTGTGCAGTGCATTTGTTCCCTAGGAAACCGACCAGAGCACACACAGAGTGCAATTTCAGACTAGCAAAAGAATTTTCCAATCATGGTGGTAAATAAAGTCCATACATAAGTCAGCTGATCCGAAGCAAACTCAAAAAGTGTCAGCGAAGAGCTAAGCTCCATGGAAACTTTCCTAAAGGGAAGAGAAAAAGAAAAGAAACCTGTGGGGTGTCTTTGGGTAACTATGTAGATCCCTTAAGTAAATATTATGAGCAGGTTTCTTTATAAACACAAACTGTCATAAAATAAACTGTTCAAAATAAATGGCTTCTCTCCAATCTTCAGCTTCTCTGTTTCTGACAGTATTTAAGAGGGAAAGCTTCTTTAGAGCCAGCCTCATACATCTGGTACCAGGGTATTAATCCAAGAATGGATCCTTCATTTCAGCAAGCGGCATGGGCTTGCGCTCTTAGTGAGAGGAGATGACAAACCCTGCCATGAGCAGTTTCTGTCACACCTCTCCCTCAGGCTTGCTTCCCCACCACGCCACAAAGAACTGCACTGGGGTGGGCGGGGACCATGCCACAGGGCCAAAAGTCACAGGTCTGTAAAGAGCAAGTCTGCTACTACTGCCCAGTTTTCTACTTTATTACCCTAGAACTGAACACAAGAAAGAACTAGAAAAGCCTGCAGACTTTCAAGTCTCCCGGATTTAACTGAGGACAGCTTAGTGTTGCTTAGGAAAACAAAATACAGTTAAATGTCAGCTTCATTTTAGAGGCCAATTTACACAAATTCCTATTTTCTGCAAGGAGCATTTATTTATTTGTCATAAGGTTTAAAGAAAAAAGCATCAGGACAAAAATTAATTCATTTGCCCTCTTAAAACAGCAACTGACCAAAAGGAAAATCAGTTAAAAACATGTAAGCCTCTCTGGAATGCTTCTGATTACACCATTATTAGTTACACAGAAAGAAAAATAGTAACATCTACACACCAGTCAAAAACAAATGAAAAGGCAAGGTATTATCTCTCAGCCAGCGCATATAAAAACACTATAGTGCTGATCCAAGAAAACTCAGGCACAACTACTCCTTTGCCAAAGCACTCCCAACACAGACTCACTGTTAATTTTTCCCGTTTACACAGAGATGCTTTGTTAAGTCTTATCACTACCACTGACAATCTAATAAATACACAAACAAGTGATTCAGTTTGTCAGTCTGCTTTTTTTTTTTTTTTTTTTTTTTTTTTTTTTTCAACCAGGGACAAAGAGCTGCAACTCTGATGATGTTCTAGAACTCCCTGTTCATGATAAGGCCAGACCTAATTGGAGATGCCTCTTTAAGCTATTCATAAGGTTTAGGCCAGAGTGGACCAGACCCACACACTAAGTTCTGTGTCTTTGTGTAGTTTAAATTCATTTACCTAATCTAGACCGGAAATAACAGCAGGAGATGATAAAACCTGATCAATTATGGTGGATAAAGCTGCCTCTAGACATTAAGTGTGCATAGATGTATAGTCCAATAACATAAAAATTCAGTATGCAGCACAGACAATCTAATGTAACTGGGACAAGAATCTAGGGTAAATTTTTCTCCCACAAAAACCACTATTTTAAGCATATTAAACTATGATAAAAATAGTGTACTTGAATAAAAGTGCATTGAATTGTATTTTTTCTTTAATATTTAAAAAATTAATGGAAATTTAAGTAGTTTCCCCACCATAATATTTTTTTCCTTCAAATTTAGTTTTTTTAAGGAATCTTCCACTTTCTCCAAATGGCTGTACCTACCATTGTTTAGTGACCCTCAAATCTATTTTTAAAAAAACCAAAACCTCCCAGGTAACAGTCAAACTTACATAAGTCAATATGAATTCTCACACAGTAGGCAAAAAAAAAAAATTCTAAAAGTGAGGAATAAACAGATTAACATAAGAACATAACCCTGTACCTTCATAGAAAACATTAGTCTGTGAAATGAATTTTATGAATGCTCACTGGCCTTCATTTATTATTTGACTATCTATGAACACATAGCAACTGTTCACGAAGTTAGCAAGCTAATCAAGTAAGAAAATTCAGAACTACTACTACCTTACACCTTTCGAAACACCATACCGAACATATACAACAACCTAATCCTTGGTTTGCATGCATGGAATACATAAAGAAATACAGGTGGGAAAATCACTTCTAACATCACGTTCTCCTCATAGGATGTGAAAAGTCTCCTCTCTTAAAACGGAAAACAAAGGTTTTAGCCTGCGTGGAAAGACCTATCGGTTTTACTCTCTAATGCAAGCCCTACAGTAAATCTGTCACTACCGGACATTGATTGTAGTTAACTATCTAATAGGTAGACTATTCTATTGGTGCTAATCCTAACGACCATGAGAAAAAACTTTACTCCAAAACTTCAAAACCAAAATAAATACAATTGTTAAAAAAAAAAAAAAAAATCAGCCGTGCTCGATCTCCTCCATTTAAACCACTATCTGACCTTTAAATATTAAAATCAAACATAGCCGTAAGAAAACCACAAACATTTCGTTTGTTTGTTTTGATCTGGTCAACCCAACCTCCTCTCCCCAGGACACGCACTAGCTTTCTCGATCTATTTGATAACAAACACAAATCACTGTGCGCAGCCTCAGACTGGGGGGAGCCTTTGGGAGAAAGCCCTCCTCCGTTAGAAACAATAAATAAGGGAGCGAAGCGCCGCACGTTCCTTCACACACCCCACACGCACCTCCCGGCGCCTCCCGACAACCAAGGCAGCCCGGCAGAGCCCCGGAGCACCTCAGGACTCTGCAACTAGCACGGCAAACCGTCCCTCCTCCTTCCCGCCCTCCTGCCCGGCTCGAGGATGCTGGCGCAGGGACAGTCCCCTCCGAGACGCCGCGGGCCGCGAACCCGCGGGCGCCGGGCTCTGCGCCCGCAGACCCTTCCGCCCCTAGCGCCCTCCCGCCTCGCTGGCCCCAGCAGACAAAAGGAAGGTTCGGCGGGTCACGGGGCGGCCGCCCACACACAAAGAGG